ATAAATAATAGCAATCATTGGTTTCAAGAATGTATAGTTTGCATTTTGTTCAAACTTTTACTTACAAAGAGTACCAGCATTTCTTATAAAGAGCAAGCGACGGGACCTCGGATTTTCAAAGCAGTTCCGAGAGTTTACTAGAGCACTGAGCAGAAGAATAAAATCTGTCTTAGAATAGAATCTATGCATAGTTTTACAAAAATTACAATTTCAAAATATTTTGGAAATAGTGATATGGATGAATAAATCGATAGTTTTCTGCAAAAAATACATTTATTAAACGAAAGTATATTTTGTAGCATTATTTCAACCTCTTTTTTAAAATATTAATCAATGCAGTAAAAATTCAAAATCCAAAACTTTATTTTTCTTCGTAAAAGTTTAGATTTTGTTTATATTTTGTAAAAAAAGGGAATTTAAATCAATAATTTTACGTGAAAAAAAATATTAAACGCTTTGCATTTCTTCAAAAAAATATATATACCTTTATTTTTTTTTAAATTTCAATTATTTAATTTATTTTACTGTTTTTAAGTTGACAACTTCCAATGAGTTTGAAAAGTTTATACTCTATCAACGTACTTGAAGGCTAAGTAGGAAGGTGAACGTTTCGACAAATCAATTACGTGAAAAAAATCTGTTCTCCCTGAGACTTATTACACGGTGAAGAATGGCTGCGCTGGAGAAAAACGGATCCTGCCTGTCCATGTCCACCATGGACAAGAGGAACAAAAATATTTATATATTCAAGAAGACGGTAGGAGAACTAGGGAGGAACTTTAAGGAAAAAAATCTCTTTTCTAAACACACTCTATAGTCTTAGAATTGGTTTAATTTAAATTTATATGGTAGAAAAATTATTAAGTATTGTACCGCTTTTGAAAAATAGTTGTTTATCTGTAACTAAACAGGTTTTTATTATAAATTTCTACGAATTTCAATCCAAAGGTACATTTTGGGAAAACTGATACTTATGTATCAATTGGTATTTCTGAGATATATATTTCTGCTATAAAATAACGGACTAAAGTAATCTTTATTCATTTTCCTAAATGAAAAAAATAATATTAAAAGAGCAATCACCTTTGAGGAATTAAGATCTCAAAATAGTAAAATAAAATAAAAGATTCATACACTATGAAATGTTACATAAAAAAACAATTAAATTCCTTTGTAACGTAAGTAATGCGTCAAAAAAGGAGTGGAAATAATGTATATATTTTTTTAACATCTATCAAAAATGAGGTAAGAAAGAAAAGTTTACCGTTTGCAGAAAATAAAAATTGCAATTCAGAATAAACTCACTATAAAAAACAATAGAATCTGGAAAATATTTTTTTCTCTTAAAAAAGAAAAGATTTCAAGCAGGATTTTTAAAAGAAACATATTGTTCTTTCCTTTTTACTTAAGAATGTCAAAAAGCATTAGTGCGTTCATTTTTCTAAAATCTACCAAAAATATCTAGTTTTATTTAGTTTTAAATTAATCGCAAAAAAGAAGATTTTCTTCGAAAATAAACTCTATACATCTATCAACATATATTGCAATACTTTTTTATATTATATTGTTTTCTTTTGAAAATATTGCCTTTTTCATAAATGGAACAAATATTTTTACAAATTATTTCTCCTCTTATTCCGTGAAAAAAAGGTATTTGATAAAATTATATTATATTTAATTTATAAAATAAATTATTGTGTATCCAGTATGAAAAAAATACTTTAACGATAGTGAATTGTCGACCAAGAGAGTCATGGAAACTCTGATTCCACAATTTTGAGACAAATGTCATAATATTGTCTGTGTCGACAGCATCGCGTACCGGCTGCTTTTATTTCCCAACAAGGTACTACACTGAAAAAAAATTATAGCCAAAACTACCGGAATATGGAGAAATTTTACGTGTTTCATGTGTTTTCTCTATAGGAACATCATAAAAGTTCCGTAATTTTTACTGAAGCGCTTAGGTAATGGTTTTGGTAATGATTTTAGTAAAATTAACTATAAAATATGATTTTTTAATATGCTATAAAATTTTGTAATATTTTCATGATACCTTAGAGCATGGCATAAAATCCATTTATTCCGTTAAATTTACTTCTCAGTTTTGTATTTTTTTACTAAATGTGTGATAATAAGAACTGTAATTGTGAAAACCAGAATTTCCGGTAAACCGTCATCATATGAAAAGAACCAAATGAATAGTTTAAATACCATGTATTTTGGTTTTATTAACCAGAATTATGGTTTTCTTTAACAAAAATGTCATTACCATACAGTACGGTAACTTAAACAGCATTTTTTTCTCTATGTACTCGTCGGTCTAAAGGACATCTAAACTTAATGTACAAATTTACACTTATTAAACTTGACTACACGATAAGATAAGAACTGTGCGCAGAAAAAAACCCGATCACCCTGAATAACTTTTGATCGAATGATCGGATCTTGACGTTCTATGACTCAATCTCCATGGCTTGAAGTGGTGATCCCAAATGTGCTAATTAATAAATGCACACAATATTTTAAGTTACGAAACCAGAGACAAGAACGTGCTTTCTCTAAATAAACTTATCTTTTTTACAGCAGATTCAGATTTATGCCCCCCGAAAAGTAAGGGGTAGGTGCAATCTGGAAATTATACCCAACAGTTTGGTCAGGAGAATCAAATTAACATTAAGGGGTCCAAAGTTCGGACCCCTTAATGTCAATTTGATTTTTTGCATAATTCATAGCTCAAAAACTTTTGAGAGAATTGAAAAATGTTTGCACACAGTTAGAAAATTTGTTTCTCCAAAAATAGTTCCATGCAAAAAACTAATTGCATGGCTAAGAAGAGTATTTCTTCTCTGCTACACAGCAAAACGGGGATTCATTAATGATGAGGTAAAACTTTGGCTATGGTGTCTTAACCTGGATTTTTCCTCAAACAAGTTTCAAGGGAATAGTTTTGAAACAGTAATGTGCATAGAATGGCCCATCTTTTCAACTGATTTCAGTCCCCAAGGAAACGTGACGGGTATCATTAGTAGCATAGTTTCAACCTATGGCAGGAATTAAGAACAGTCATCATTGAAACTTAGGATAATATTGGTTCTACTGCCCTCACGGATTGATAAATGATGTATGGGTGATTCTCGCGAAATATGACAATTCACTGTCCCTTGCTCCAAGATCTAATACTATATTACTAAAAGAACTTTTTTTAAAAAAAATTTATAAATAGCATTGCTGTTAACATTTTAAAATGACTTTACCCTAGCATTGACTGTTTTGTATAGTTAAAAATTTAATAGAACTTCAAAATTTCATATTTCTAACATGTCCCAAACAATGTTTCCAATAATAACTAGCTTCAAAAACTTTCTATAAATTTTTCAATATCTAATTTTTTTTTATCTCAACCAGTGTAAGCATTCCTAGAATATACGCAGTGGGTATTATTTACAAAAACTTCGTTTAAATTAATTTCTTCTGTCAATAATTTGTTTGTCCCAAGAAAATCTGTCATTTTTCTGAGTTATTTTAAGAAATCTAGTTGTTTTCTGCAGAATATAAACGTCTTAGGTCAAAATATAAAATTAAAGTAAAGTTATATGCTATAAAATGTCGAATTTTTCATTATCCTGGCTGTCATTTTCCTGGCTTATGAATGTCAGGACATTGAAGTGTTACCAGAATTTTTGTTAAACTGCAAATACTGTAAGGAGAGAAAGCAAATATTAACCTAATATCAAGTTTATGTATGATTGTAATATGCCTGGCTGTAATCAAAGTTATTTATTTATTTAATGATTGATTATTATACAAAATTTTATTCTGTACATATCAGCAGCAACAAAAATTTTTGATTCTTTCTACAGTGGATAAAAATAATTAATTTAAGCAATTTATGGTCCATCTAACATAAAGGCTTAAGTTAAGTTACTCACTATTAACTTAAAATGCCTATTTTTTAAACTTCTAAGTCAATATGTCATTTTCCTGGCATTCAAGATTTGGTGAATTTCTATTTTATTTTTTTTTTCTCGAACAAATGTCAATAAACCACACTGCTGTCTGTTAGATATTAATAAGTGTAACTAAAGAAGCATACAAAAAAATTTTAGATTATTTTGAAGACTTTAAATTTGAAGAAATTTTTTGGTCCGAATTGTCATGTTTAAAAAGAATCACCCATATAACATCGCGTCTTTCAAGTCTTACGTAAATAAGATGGGTATATTGGCTATAAACACAAGTATCTTTATTTAGGCGGGATACCTCCATCCCTTTTTTTATTATATTCATTTTTTTCTCTGCCCAAGATGGACAAGAAATGAGTTATTTCTTGCAAATATGTATTTATCACTTCCTTAAAGAACATGTTTCATTTTAATTGGTTTTATTTGTGTCCATTTACTGCGCATTATCAAATATGCTATATTTGAGTGAGATACACCTTTTGCTTCTATTCGAAGGGACAAATGGTTAAACTTTACACCTATATTAATATTTCAAACTATTTGTTCAGCAGTATAAGTTCAACTTTTACCGTATTTTTCAAAGAATGTTGGTGATTGTCACTAACTAAACGTTATTGGCATTTTATAATTCACATAAAAGCTCTTTTTCTCAACAAAAAAAAACTTATAAAAGAAAAATATGAAAAGTTTAAATATATTCAAATACTCTCAGAAAAACTAATTTAATATTGAACCATCATTACGTTCAAATTTCCTTCAACCATAATAAGGTACTATGTTAAACAGCATTTTAGTTCAAGTTGAGCCAAAGCATGGTGAAATCAAGTTTAAGACGTAAAGATAATAAACATATTGACATCTTCATAAAGTTAACACATATTTTAGCGATATTATGGTTTAGCATTCTTCAAAATTGTTTAATTGCATCATCTTAACCATGATTGTTGTTTGGTTGAATAACACAGAGGCTAATGCCGGCAAATAAACTATTTATTAAAACATAATATGAGGAAACAATAGTTCGCACACACAGTGCTACACATCTGAATCAACCAAACAACAGTGGTAGCAGATTTTTCTAGGTAAACTCTTCTTCTGAGTAGCATATGCGGATTCCAAATTTCTATGTCCACGGGATTTCTGTAGTAAATCTTTTTCTTCTTCCCTTAAGACTTCAAGTATTTCTTCTATCGACTTTTCTCGTTGCGTTTTTAAAACTTGTTTTATGCGCTCATATTTTCCAGCTAGACCTCTGACCGTGTAGAACACTAATTCTCTGTCAGATATTTTCAGTCCCAAGGAAGCACACTTAGTCGATAATCCTTTAGCTCGAGCTATATAATCGTTTACGGCTTCTGAATCCAGCATTTCTAAGCTCTTAAGTTCGGCACCCGCATCAATCTTTCTATCTTCCTCAAGCCCAGTGTAGGTAGTTTTAATTCTTGTCCACAAAGCTTTTGCATTCTTTTCTTCTGCATATTGCAAAGCCTGTTCGTCTGATAGAGACAATTTCAAGTATGATACGGCATCTTGGTTTGTAGCTTCCCATACTTGCAATTTACCAGGGTCAGTTGGAGCTTCCTCTGTCACTGCCGACATTAGTTTCTTGAGGTTCAAAACTGCTTCCATTTTCATGGCCCAAAGATGATAATTAGTTCCAGTCAACTTCGGAATTCCAAAAGCTAAGTCTTTCTCCATGATGATCGTAAACCACGCTCTGCTACCACTGTTGTTTGGTTGATTCAGATGTGTAGCACTGTGTGTGCGAACTATTGTTTCCTCATATTATGTTTTAATAAATACTTTATTTGCCGGCATTGGCCTCTGTGTTATTCAACCAAACAACAATGATATTTGGAGATTCAACGTTCCCCCCATGTTGGGAAGGACAAATATAGAAAAGAAGGCAAGAGCATCCTTGAACATCCTTAAAGACATGAAAATCGAACCCGAGACGTTTGTGTCGTGAAATCAGCACCCTGCCCACCATACAGACAAGTCACCTATGTATATGTTATCATAATGTTAACATAATATGTTATCATAACTATATCAAATTAGTTTACTGTTATTCCTTTTATTCCTTTTTTCTCTTAGATTTAAAAAAAGCTGAATAAAAATATGTGATTCAATTTAAGTTTGTTCTTTAATTCTTCTATAGAATTTCAACTCAGACTTCTTCAAAGACTTTGAAAAGTGAACATATGTGTGAATAATTTCTCAAAAATTTCTATTTCCTTATCCTCAGAGAATTGGATAGAAACATTTCAGAATGAAGCGAAACATAAATTTGTCTGCATGACAGCTTTTAAAAACACATTTTCTGAATAAATATATGAAAAAGCAGTTTTCTTTCCACCTCAAACATATATCAGTGTCTATCTTTATGAGAAAGTACCTCGTTTTAACTTGAAGAAAAGAAATTTAATATACATTCCATTTATCCAACGCGTATCTCAAATATTTTTAGTTTTCATTTTTATGCGATCAAAAAAATTTCAGAAAATGTCTGGCGAAAATATATATAAATTGTTATTTTTCATGAATTTTCTTGATTGCTTTATGATTTTCTCCGAAAAATACTTTTCATGTTACGTAAACACATATTTTCAAGAAAATATAAGGCGTGAAATAAAGTTATGTTGTGATTTTTCATCAATTCTTTTGATTAAAGTTGGGTTGAAATTTTGATCTTACAATTTTGTCTAAGAAATACTTTCACTAAAATAAAATCCTCACCTAGTTCTGCTTCAGAACATCGCTTAACGTAATCAACACCTTTTATAGATAGAATACCAGTTATATTTATAGTTAATAAAAATTTCATATTAGGGATACAATACAAATATTTTTGTGAGGAAAAAAATTTTTATCGAAATCCAACGAATCACTATTTAGGAAGTCGCGAATAAATAAAGTCATCTCCATTTCTTTGATTGCCCTGATAATACTCTAAGGTTTTTCTAATTATCATCTTTTTTTTTCTCGTAGTTTCCTTCGCCAATCAAACAACTTTTATTGTTTTAATTTAGTTTTTCTTACTAATATTCTGCCCTATTTCATGACGTTTTTTTTCTTCAAAATATTAGTTTGCGTATTAATATTAGTACAGCGTTTCCTTCATATGCACTGTAAGAAAAGGATACTTAAATTTCACGAAACTTTCTTCGTTTTTGGCAAAACAGTCTCCTGATATATGTTTCGAGCAAAAATATCAGCAAAGGGACAAAATAACAAGGGTCACTTCTTTGAGGAAACAAATTTCGTCATAAGTAAAGAGATATTTCGTCATTCTACTTTTTTTTTCAAAAAATAAACACCAAGAGGCAGTTGTAGTGCCTCACCGTATCAAACAGGAAGTACTATTGATCACTTTTCTGAGGACATCATACAGGCTGATTAATTTCACCCCAACATCAAAATAGAGAGAAAAATTACATCTCTGCCAGGCGCGGGATTTGAACCCGGGATCTTTCTGGTATTAAGTCAACTCCTTGACCACCATGCAAGCGGTCGGCTTATTTCGTCATTCAAATTTTGATCGTCTAGTCTTCATTCTAATTAACAATCTACCACAAGGCATTTCGAGTTGAGGAAACATTTTCGTCATAAATTTGAGAGTTCGCGTTTTGTCACAAATAACGTGATTTCATGACGAAATGATTCTCAAAACTAACGAAATACAGCTTAAGGATTTGCTGAATCGTCAAAAGTGAGGGTCTTGTTTCTGAGAGTGAGTAAAAATATATATAAAGAACAGTAACAATGGAATATCTCTCATAAATTGAAATCGATAAATAATACAATTTAAAATACTCATATCTTGTTTGTTACTCTTTTTAAATAAGATTTAATTTGTAAAAGATTTTTCAATTTTAAATTTTGTTTTATTCATATCTAATTTTACACTCTAATCTATATTATTTATTCAGCTACTTTTGTTTTTATAGTTAACTCAGTTTTAAAAAAAAACTATGACAATAAAATATTCACATCGAATAAAATATTCTCAAAATTTAAAATTATTAGATAGGAGAAAAATGAGAAAGAAAGAAAAAAAAATTCCTCATTATATATCTAAAGGGAAAAACTTTATTATGTTAATCTCTGATGTCGCATATTTTTCACCAAACTGTCGCAATTGCAATATTTATCAGTGACGCTAATTTGGAAAAAAATTGTTCTTGATTCAAATTTAATCAGAATTTGATAGATCTTCATTTTTCAAAAAAAAATTAAGGAAGAGAATTTCAAAAGACCAACATAATTAATCATTATTTTATTCTCATTTTAAGGAAATAATGAAAAATGTATGATGTTTTTTCACACGTTAAAAAGAATAACGGAATTTACTTTTTTTTAAGCTTTCATGTATAAATCCAAAATAAAGCATCACTCATTAACATAAATAAAATATCGTAAATAAAGTTTTCAATGTTGATTAGTTTTCTTTCATTCTAATAGTGATATAGAATTTCGCTTAAAATAAAAACGAAAACAAAGGAAAAATATTAATAAAAAAATACTAAGGTTTCAAAAGAAAATTATCACCGACAGTTACAAATTATTTTCACGATATATTTTAAAAAAATATATTATCCAAAATTTAATACAATTAATACAATAATGTAAAAATAAATCATGATGGTGTTGTAAAGCAATGTTGCATAATTTTAACCACCTAAAGCTATGTAGGGCTAGTCGTAGTTATTGAACATGCCAGCCGTCTTGTATGAAAAGGTATCCCGACATAGAATTGAGTTAACATGCCTTATATATTAGTGAATTGTAGTTGTAATTTTGTAGTGGTTGAAACGCTACAGTACTCCCCCACCAGAATTATAGCTGTGATAGAATTCGATGCACGGATACCACTAGTTGTTTCATTGCTGTTTTTTTTGTGAGAAGCCGGGAGAGCTGTATTAAGATCACCGTACTTATGCTAATCGTGAGAGCTGTGTCAAGTTAACGGTCGTTGTCGCTCCTGTGTTGCCTTTAGCAGTCAAGTGTATACGTTGTGTGCGCTTGAAACTGAGCAGTAACAGCTTTAGGAGGTGGATGATGTTGCAATCACAAGTAGAAAGTCAACTGATCAACGTGGACCATCCAACGAAGTAGACGCTACTGTCGATGTTTCTTGCCAACGTAGGCGTGTTCACATCACGTCCGGGTCTCCAATGTGGGGCTAGTCGTAGTTATCGAACATGTCAACCTTCATCTATAAAAAGGTACCCCGACATAGAATCGAGTTAACATGTCTTATATACTAGTGAATTGTAGTTGTAATTTTGCAGTGGTAGAAACGCTACAGCTATTTGAATAGACAATTGTTAATAATTTATTATAGTAAGTTACCTGTTTTGTAGCTTTTTTGGATTTCGGTGGGTCTTTGAAATAAAATACATTACTTTAAATCTAAAAAAAAAACTGAAAACATTGTGTGCGATAAAAAAAATGATACCAATATTTTTTATCGATCATTATTTTTCTGCTATGTCTACGATTTTTTTTTTTTTTTTGCAATGACAATGAGTAATATGAGTGGCTTCTTCACCCAAAATATTCATCCGCAGATTTATAATAGAAAGCAGCTATCATTTCTTATTACTCTGTTGAATATAGTTTGATGTTAATACCTTATCAAGGTCTCAACAAATTTCCTGCGTATTGTAATTCAAACTACCGATTTTGTATTTCAACGTTGAACTGATTTTCTTTTTCTTTTCAAGGTGTAGTCAAAAGCACGACGTCACAACATTGCTCCTTCGACGGTAAATGCGTTAAAGTCATTTCGCGACTTTGACACGTTTACCGTCGAATAATATTCACTCATTTGTGACACGTCACAAATGAATAAATATTTTTACAAAAAACACGTTGTTACCTAGCTCAAAATAGCTTTACTTTTAATAACCGGTTTAATGTATAAGATGACGCATAGCTTAGTCATGAATAATCCACTTCGCCTTATACTAAGTGATATTTACGTGCATTGTATTGGACTTCAGTTATTTGAGATTATACATTTTTTTTCTATGCTCATTATGAGTATGACTGTTATTTCTTTTAGATGAAAAACAAAAAGAAATTAAGGCAACTCTCGACTTTCTAAATTCCACAGAACCATGCATTCAATTCACATCTGGAACAGAATTTTCTGGACGTTCTGGTAACCCGTAAAGAAGATTGTTTTCAAACAGTGTCACGAGACCTTTGCTCGTTCTCTTTCGTCACATCGTTCCTGTTACTGTAAAATTTTATAAACTTATCCCTTCATAATATTCAAATTGTTAAAAAAGCCTGTGAAATACAAGAAAAAAGTTACTCAATTTTGTGTTACAATTTTCGAAACTTTTTTCACTCATAGGATATGCTAATATTCTAAAACTATAGGCCTTGGCATAAAACTTTGTAAAATTAATTTTTAGATTATCTCATGTAAAGAAGCAAATGTAACCACACTTCGTTCCATAAAACTCGACATTCTAGAGTCATTAAGAAAAACCATTACAGTTTAAATACAAATTCTGACAATCTTAAAAATTAAATAAAGATCATATTAGTTAAACAATCTTAAGAAAAAACTTTAATTCTTTTCAACATGAATAGTATAGAGAGATATTTTTATCTTTTCCATAAATATTCAATATACTACTTTCTTTAAGGAGAACTAAATTTTCATAAATATTTAAAAAAGG